TTTGTTTCAGAACTAGATTCTAGATCTACTTCATTAGATTTATTTTCCATTCAGCAATTTCTCAAAGAGTTTCCTAAGAAACCGCATTTCTGTAACTTTTATTTTATTTGCCCTTTCTAAAATTTCTTTGGGAACTGTCCAGTCTTCGTGCCCGTTTTGAAGCGTTGACCACACATAGCCTTCTATAAGTCTTCTTTTGGTAGTGATCGCAGAGTAGCAACGACGGCTCTCTCTGACAATCCCCAAAACCGTTGATGCTCTTAAGTCTGTGACGTTGCTTCACCAAATAAATGATATTCTCTTTCCTACATCTCTTTTATGGGTTTACCTCAATAACCTTTTCGTTTATTACCTGTTTTGATCGAGCCTCCCTTTTCCCACCTAGCTTCCAAAGACCCAGTATGTTTAGTTTCACCCTGTCCATTTTCGGTATTATTATTTTCCAGTTTGCCATTATTTATAAAGCATAGACCTCCTAAAGTTCGACATAGCCGTTAAAAAAAGTTTTGGTCCAGGTTTTGTTTTTTCAGCCACTGACTGGATGATCGTGGCGGCCATCTACCGAGTAGAGAGTTCAGAGCCGGGTCGTGAACCTACCCACTTGATTTTAACTGTTTTCTGATAAATAATTAGTCACTTTTAAGGACAAGCGGGCTAACCCAAATTTCGGGGGTTTCCAGAAATCTTGACCTACACCAAAAAATGGGCATTGCCCCACCTATAGGAGAAGTTTGGTTCCATTGGTGTGTATGTTTGGTAACAGAGAAAACTCTCCTTGTCTTTAAAAGAAACTGAACAAAGGGCAGAAACTTTGTCTTCGATTTTCTCAAAACAGCATTTTTTGGGATAGCTCCCTTGTGCTCTAAAGCGACCAATTGTCCTTCCATGAATTTATTGGAAAATTACAGCAGAGCTTTCCCGTTGCCTTCCACCGTCATGTCATGTTACGTTTTTAATGCAGGTGTTTTTACGCTGCCATCGACACAATTCAAATGATTTATTTAAGAGCCGTTTTTTTAAACCCTCTTAGGCCCAACCAGGGCTGAGAGGGCTACAACGTCCTGGCAGAAAAACCAAGATGAACTTGATAAAAATTCTCCGCACATGGGAATCGAATTCAGGTCCTCCATGTGTTAGTGTCACAGCAAAGCATACTGCTACACCACAGGCGTCGGTATACATGTACATCCATCTATGATATATATATATATATATATATATATATATATATATATATATATATATTATATACATATGAAGAGCAGAGGGGAAAACGACTAAACAAATTGTGAAATTGTGAGGGTGCCCATTTTTAAAGCTTGTGGACTCATAACTTCTTATTTATTCGACGGATAGTTTCATTGTAGTATTTGTTGAATGGGAAATCTAGCAACAATAATCAACCAACAGTTGAACAGTTATGAGTCAACAAGTATTCAAAAACGATGCCCTCACGATTTCCAGTTTGTGACTATGGTAATTTTCCACCTGTGCTCTTCCATATAATAAAAAAAAAGTACAAACTAATTAAAAAAGACATAGAGTCATGAGGTAACTAAAAAAAAAAGCAATCTGTTCTGAGATACACATTGAAAGACAAACTCTATCATTTTCAGAGTAAACTTTAATACCGAACCAACGACATGAAAAAAATCAACAATTAGAAATATATTTGGAAAAAAACCACTATGTACAATACCAGACAAAGATTTTAAAAAAGGGAGAATTAGAACCACAAATTGTGCAGTATATTTTTTTCGCATATTAATCCAAGATAGGTTTGCAGTTTACCTTAAAGTGAGGGTATAGAAACTGAAGTGTTGAGTGACTTTTAAAAATGCGACTACAAAAACATTAAAGATAATATATTATATCGTCACTTATTAAAAGTATTGAAACGCAATCACTAATAAGAGCGTATTTTAAGTATTTACACACTGAACAAATGTATATTATTTATGAACAGCGAAATTCTGAGTTCAGATTTTGAGTTCAAGGACATTAGATGTTCATTAGTAAAGGTAAAAATGAGATTTCGGGGGAGGGGGGGGGGGGGGAGAGAATCTGGAGCATTACTGAGTACAGTCAATGGCGGCTTGCCAGAATGATAACTGATTTTTCTTTTCATACTGAAATACTTTTATGAAAGTAATATATATATAGAATCTAAATTCTATTCATTTCTTCACCTGTTTTTTACCATTCCTGTATAGCAACAGAAAATTTTCCACAAGGACAATGAAGTATTGTCTTGTGTTACCTTGCATTACCCTACCTTGAATTATTTTACCTTAACTTGAATTACCCTATCTCATCTTATCTCATCGCGCCTTCAGTGCTTTCTTGTCATATCTCCATTTTTCAAATTGTTTTCACGTTTATTAAAAATGGAGATACCACAAGAAAGCACTGAGGACACTGAGTTGGTGTTATCCTATCTCATCTCACTCTCGCCTTATCTTATTTATGTGGCAAAAAACTCCCAAACAAGTCAGAGAAGATCCTGAGAAATGGGGGTAGAGATCAGAGGAAAAATATAAAGGCCTGTTGTGTTGTTAAACACAAAATAGTGACAAATTTATGATTTTGCTTTTTCGCATTTATCGATGAGGTACACACCCATCCACACAATTTAGATCATTTACGAGGCGGGTTGCTTTGCCCTCGCCTTTTAGTTTTAGTAAGAGTTTTACGGTACTTTAAACACAATAAGGTCATATAAGTGCCAAAGAATAGAGGTGTTACAAGAGAGTAACATATACAAAAAAGGAGGAGAGATAAGGGTGATAGATGTTTAATAGGAAAGAAAGAGCAAACCACACAAGAGCACCTGCCAACCACCTGTCAAGACCAACCTGGACTGAGGAGAGAGATGCCACAACCAAGCAGATAGATGGAAGGACTCGATAAAAATTATCCCCAAACAGGAATCGAACTCGTGTCAAATGATCACATTGTATTTACATACATACAGGTACCTGAGTATAAGATCATTCCTTTTTTTCAAACCAGGAATTTATCAGATTCCAAAACACCTTTAAGAAATGTAATTTGAGAACAGGCAAGAATAAAAATTGTGTACATTTATTATAGTTTCTTGAACTATAGGCTATTGTTCAGTAGTGGAGTATAGCAATTCAGCATGAGATTGAAACCGGCCATGTTTTGCCAGGAACACAGTAGGACAGTGGCAACATATTATGTAAACAGAAACAAAGGTATAAAATATAAAGTATTAGATCTATATAAAAGAGTTAACTGTCAACTACTTTGAAACCCTCTCAAAATTGGCTACCCACTCTGGCTAGTTCGAGGGAGGCATGAGTATCGGGTATGTAATTAATAGTAGCTATAAATTTCAGTACATGTACTCTACACTTGAAACTATATGAGTCAATTTTGAAGACAATGACAATCTCAGATTAAAGGCATGCATCATTATGATGTACAATGATGTATAATACATTTGGAATGTGAAAAACAGAAGACCTTGGGGAACAAATGGGAATGAGGAGATGTCTTAAACCGCTAAACTTGAGTTTACCTTTAAGGAAAAAACAGTGTCATCCATGAAGTATTAAAAAAACATACAATCGAGATAAACAGAGGATGAGCATTTTGTGCGTTTTATGAGTTTGATTGTAAGATGGGGGTAACTACTTGAAATGAGGCTGGTGTTTCCGGGGCGGGGG